TGTATTGCTGCAAGAGGTGCACATTTCGAACAAAATCTTCATTAAAAAGTTTATAAATAAAATAATTAAAATAATAAATTAAATATATTTTTTTCTTTTTTCGTGATTTCCTGCGAAACAAAGCAAAAAGGAGCATATGTCTATAGGACTTTTTTTCTTAGTTTTTTACTCCTCTACACGCTCCCGAAGTTTTGCCATTTAATTTGGAAACACCCTGTATATATATTCGTCGATGACCGGCAATGATCGTTATCATAGAATTTTATTCGCATTATATTCAACATAATGGAAGCAGTGCCCGATCGACGTGTGAAGTGATAGTCATGTTTAATTCGCGAATATTAACTTTAAATTTGATTCGTGTAGTACTGCGTGCAACAAACTTTCTCAAGACTTCGGAAACGCCTCTGTGACATAAATCTGTTTTTATTCCTGCACTAGTATTATAGAACTTTTTTCGCTTCCGCCAAATATCAAACATATACCTTTCTCCTATCTTAAATTCCAAAAGTGTATAATAATTCAACCGCAAAAAACAGATCTATAATTGAATCGACAGCAACCGACAGTTTAAATATTTCGCGATTTCCTCGTTCATTCGTATATGCATCCGCGATTATTCGTGTTATTCGGATGATATAGAAAAATCCCGATCAATCATCGTGAACATGGAGAGGATAAATCGGAATAAATCAGAATAAATGCAGAATGCTGTAGCGTCGCAGTGATTGGTGAGTGAACCTGTTTGTTAAACTTAAATTTGCTCTGTGTAATTAAATTGAAATCATTTTCAGTTTGACAAACTTTAGCGCCGAATTAATTTGAGAAGATATGAAAAATCTCTTAAATTTCCACTTTAAAGTATTTTAAATCATCTCATTGCAAATCTAAGTGTGTAAAAAGTTATTATAATATAGGTGTATGATTAATTTTCCGTGTAAAAAATGATATAATTTAATTAAAATTTAATGTAAAAATAATAAAGAAAATTGATATAATTATGACAACTGAGAAAGTGATAAAGTTACTCTTTATGATACTTTGCAATATATCAAGAAATCATGATGTGGAACTAATGAGCGTTGGAATTTAATTTCAATTCAAGCGAGACGTATGGCAGAAATCATGTTAATCATACTTTGCTTACATTAGATATTCTGCTGGTCGACTGCTAAACCGTATAAATGCATTTTTATATGCAATATAATGTATATTTTTACACGAAAGATCAGCACACTCATATATTGTAGTCACTTTTTATACACATGAGTTTGAAGTTCTATCACAGTTTTTAATTCAAATAAAATATTAATATAACGATATTTTAACAATAAGATTTTACATTTGGGCGACGAGCATCGGAATATATTTATGTTAAATTGAAAATGGACATTCCATGTAACTGTAGAGCAAGAATTATTAAGCAGTAAATTAAGCAGTAGATTCAAATTGATTGACGTAATTTAATTTTCTTTTATTTCTATCTCTTGTGATACGTTAATATAATTTGCTCTATATCTATCAATGATAAATCAAGCTGCATAAATTAAAAAATTACAAAATTATATAATATTATACACATCATTGATTATAGATAATATTATAAAATAGACATCAGATAAAATGCAAGAAGCATTCCTCGTTACGAAAGAAGTCGACCAGCAGAATATCTAACGTAAGCAAAATATGATTAACATAATTTCTGCGATACACGTCTCGCTTAAATTAAAAATTAAATTCCAACGATTATTAGTTCTGCATCGTAATTCTTTAATATAGCGAAGTGTATCATGAAATCCATATAAACTTTACAAAGCAACTTTTCCACTTTCTTAGTTGTCATAATTATACTAATTTTCTTTACTATTTAACATTAAATTTTAATTAAATTATTACAATTTAATTACATTAATTAAATTAATGTAATATATTACATTTTTGTAATATATTTCATTCTTGCCTCTATTAATACAAGATAATTCTTTGATGATATTATTCTGTATTTTATCTGTGCTTGCGATAAACAAATTATCTTAAGTGTACTGCAAAATAATTTTAAAAACATCTTTTAGAATATGTGTCGAAATAGCTTTCTAACTTGAATATAAGTTTTTATTTGCCTTTACAAATATTTTTTCAAACAATCTCCTAACTGACGTAAATATTTAGACTGATAAATATTTGGTAAAACATAGGCATGTTTAGATTGCTTTGTTGACGAATTTGAATATATCATTTATTTATTATTATCTCTAAAAAATACAATTTAAATCCAAACTTTACATATTATAATATAAAATTTATACTTTATATGTTACAATATAAAATTAAATTCTAATAAGCAACGCGTGTAAAACTAAACAATGCACAAATTGCATTCGCAACAACATGAACGACATGAGAATACAAAGCGGTTATTAATAAAATGTGATTTTGTGCCATCCTGTATCTATAATTCTGATGATGGAATTCGAGGCTGAGGATCTTTTCTTTATAGCGAATTCGTGCTCAGAAAGAATTATAACGTTTATTCGATTGTAACGCAGTTTTTTCACTTCCGCGAAACAAGAACACAAAGTATGTCATGTGCAATCTCAGAATTGACTTAGGAAAACGGAATGTTGGCGAATGTCGGTTCAAATTAGTTGCAACAGCGACGGCGCGTAATTGCGTGGAAAAAAAACCTACATACGATGCGTAAACTCTGAAGGAAAAAACCGTTTTTGCTATTACGATGCATGATTGTTGCATACTAATTGCAGAGAAAGTCTCTGACGCAACTTTTTAAATGATTAGACGAGACGTGTAATCCATTAGACATCATTAAGGACACTATAGGCAAATTTAGTTAATTACCTTCGGATTTTAATTTCATATTCTTTTCTAAATCATATTCTTTTCTAAATCATAAACCGTAACCGTAACCTATAAGTAAGCTTAGCTATGATCGGCTCATACAAGTTTATTGCTATCACTTTGAAGCTATTAAAATAAGTAACTTATTTTTTTATTTATATTGAATATATATCTTATTTCAAAAATAAATTCTCAAATCTACGTTTATCTGTTAAAATATTTTAACCAGATATTTATCTCCATTCACGAAAAATATATATACTTTGAATTGACTATAAATATGTCTACAGATTTTAGTCGATTATTTCAGAAATAGATATAACTTATTTTCGATTTCTCATCCATACATATAAAAATAAACGTCTAAACTTAAATTCTGAATTCAGATTACAATTTAATCAAATTCAATGGAATTACTTAACTTCGCGTCTGATAAGAAACAGGATAATTTTACCTTGAATCTGAGTTTCTGGAGTGGCGGTGCAGCATAGGGAATTCCCAGAAATGCATAAATATTTCTTCCAAGTCGGGTGAGCATTGTTGTTCCATATAACGTACCATTCGGTGGTTTTGCAATTGGTGGATTACCGCAGACCACATTAAACGCGAAGATGCAAATAAGGCCTAGTTGGATGAACATGTTATTTCGACATTCCTTCATTTTTAACTCTTTCTTCTCCAAGGGATTTCGCAACGATCTCTATAGACAGTGTTAATGTAATATTAATTACAAAATGCAAATATGTGAAATAAAAGTTTCTAAGTTGCAGACATACAAATGAAAATACAAATATAAATAAAAATTCATAAATCTAAATAACTGTATTATAATTAAGTTTGAAAAATAATATTAAATTTATTAATTTATTGATTTATTTATTAAACAAAATTTCTATTACATTTGGCTATATTAAAACAGCTATGACATATAATAATTAAAATACATTATATAATTGTCCTTGAATTTTTTAAATAATCTGTAAAAGTTTCTTTTATCTGTGACACAACAATATCCGATTTCATAATGATGGAATTTATAGATTATTGTTTTTAACATAAGCAACTTGTATATTAAAAGTCCATGATAATATAAATATTATAGGCTCGTTTAAATGCAACGCAATAATTAATATCAAGGCTTTTTTTATAAAACGAGCAATAATAGTTGGTTTATAAAAAGAAAATCGTTTTTAATTAAATAGTTCCACTAATATAAAAATATAAATTTCAAACGTTTCGACTTATAAAGTCTTCTTTAGTGATAAATATTTCTATACCCCCTTAAAAAGTCATCGTATAAACGTTAAATAAATATTAAAGGTAATCGCTCAAATACAATACTTGTTAATAAAAGAGCGATATTTATATCATATTGTAACTATTTAATTAAAAACGATTTTCTTTTTATAAACCAACTATTATTGCTCGTTTTATAAAAAAAGCCTTGATATTAATTATTGCGTTGCATTTAAACCGAGCCTATAATATTTATATTTGTCCATGATAATGTTTTATATCGAATTATTGATACAAGGGAAAGTAAACTGTAAATGGTGGCTTGTAATGTGTACATGAATAGATAGGTAAATACACTACGTAAAATATTCATAGGAAAAAAAATTCAGAAATGTAGAGATGATCGCGTTTACATGCTTCTTTTTCCTCTTACGTTAGGCCTGTGGCCTGTGTTACATCTCTCTTATTTGCTTGTGATGCGCACACTGATTATTCAATTACCACTAGCATATGGTACCTACAGTTTTAATGTCGGTTCCGAACGGCGTTTACATGCATTAAATTTAATTTATGTTCGAGAACATGATTATGGAGGAAGTGAAATTATCATGTACCTACAGCACATCTGAGAAATTGATAACTTAGTTGAGACTAGGCAAAGCACGGCGCGTGTTAAGAAAACTGGTTTCACATCGTAAATGCAAATACCTAGTGTTATGTAAAGAAAAAAACTTTCAAGATCAATGATGAAAGAGTGACAAAATACAACGAGATCAATCTATAATTATAAATGTCAAGCATTACATTGGCTTCAAGATTACATAATTAAGAATCATTAAAATGATAGGTTCATATGAATAAATTCAATTGATATAAATTCAATTGATATAAACGTAAATATAAACAATTTAATGTCTACAATATTTTAAATTTATTTTTTCTACCAAAACTTCAAAATGTATGTATATTGGAAAATTCTGTTATGGTTTTAAAACTTAAGAAAACTGTTGTTATCAATTCCTTTAATAAAAAAAATTAATGTTTTTTTTTAATTTAGCATTTTTAAATTGCACACACACACACACACACACACACACTCTCTCTCTCTCTCTCTTTCTCTCTCCCCCCCCCCTCTCTCTCTCTATCTGATAAATAATATTTCTAAGTTTGTAGTATACGAACGCATCTTATTTGATTTAAACAAAGTATCGTAACAATGAAGAGTTATTGACAGATTATGAAAATTACGGTGCCAGTAATAATTTCACTAATCTTTAGACAATGGACTGAAGTTGATATAATGACAGGGTATACCATGCGGTTTCGTGAGTACCGAAGAACGCGCGTGTTCGTTTGGCGAAGGTAGGATTAAGACTGTCGTTGGAGAGAGTCGCTCGTTGGGATATTATCGATGATGGTATACATAATTGACGTCACACTGACGAACAGCACAAATGTTTCTGCTAGTTTATCCTTTTCGATCTGTTTATCCTATTTTTTCATTGATCGTATCTTTTTGCTGATTGATACGATACATGTTTAAGCGAATAGATGAGTAACGTTACACTTTTCAATATCACAATTAATATAACATAAATTTTCAATTTTTCAAGAGCTTTAAGATTTTAAAAGAATTTTCAGATGTTTATTTTACAATTTTAGCAGAATGAGAAAATATAATTAACATGCTATATAATTAAAAGAAATACTAGCTTTAATATTATTATATTCGCCAATTTATATAAATCTAACTTACATTAGCTTACCATCAATTTATCATCTTAGCCATTTTATAAACCATGAATTTATTGATTTCAGTTCTTTTTTAAAGTTTTATTGATTATCATTTATAGAGATATACATATATCTGTTATTAATATAAACCCTGAAAATATTGCATTTTCTTACATTCTTATGATTAGATAAAAATGGAATTAGAAAACAATATAATGTATATCTATAAGAAAATACAAATCTCAGAGACGTCGTTTTTTAATAATCTTTCAGAAAAATAATAGATATTCTTTAAGATATCATTATCTATCAATAAACTCTACTTTTTTTATATTAAAAATTAATATAATTAAATTTGTAACGATTTACGAGGGTCGTCTGAAAAGTTTTGAGCCTCATCATGAAGATGGCGTTACTCGTCAAAGCCATTCTGGTATTATAATCGTGATACTTACGAAAGATATCTGTGACAATTGTGGCCATTTTGAACGTTCAGTTCTTGTTTGACAATCATTTGTGTCATCATTTTGTAAAAATGGAAAAAATTGAATATCGTGTTATAATTAAATTCTTGCATTTGAAA